GCGACGCAGGGAACTGTTGTGACATATAGAACGTGGTGGGCTCTTTTTTCAAACAATCAAACTCCATAAAAAAAAATAGAATATATATCATTTATGTATAATTTAATAATTATATTACTACCTATAACAGTAACTTTTATCTACCTCGTTGGTATAATCGTAAAATATGAGTTGCCCGCGTTAAAAGGATGGTAGGTATACTTCTTGAAAATGCTAATGGTGGTTTGGTTGTGGAAAAATTTCCATTAGTCTAGGAAAATTTTCCAAGAAAAACAGAAAATTTGAAAACGCGTTTGGTTCGTTCAGTTTTCCAAAATTTTCCAAGAAAATAAAAATTTTCAGTTTTTCAAATTGTATGTAAATTAGAAAAGTGATTTTTACAGTTTTCCAAAGTTTTCCAAATTTATAAGATGGAAAATGAAAACTCCTCCGGTTTCAACCAAACAGGTTTTCTAAAATTTTCATTGACAATTGAAAATGAAAACTCAACTCTATTTTCTGAAAACATTTTCTTAGAAAATGAAAATAATTTTCCACACCAAACGCACCCTAATCCTCTCTAAATTTGCTACAGTCCCATGATAAAGTTGTTATGGGTCTTTGTGAAACGAGAGAGGGGGAACCAAAATGCTTCTCCATTTGGTAAATCCAATGTTACAATTCCCAATTTCCCTCAAAAAAGTAGGTTCCATGGACGGATGTGGTAGTCGTGGTAGTACAACACAGGAGAGGTCCTAGTGTATTTGAAGGACCTTATGATGTTTAGGAGTTGTTTGCTAGTTGTTAACTAGGTCAGAACTGATTAGGTTAGAAGTTCTTACTGAATCTACATCTGACTGAGTTTATGTTGTGTTGATTATTTATCTGATTAAGTCAACATGTGATTGAGTTTATGTTGTTTGAGTATTTCTTTGACTGGTTGTGATGAGTGATAGAAATATGACAATATTATATTTATGTTGGTTAGTTTTTACTTTTTGGTTTTTATACTTTTATTCAATTTTGAACAATTAAACTTTATAACTTTGGTATTTTAATTTTTGGTTTTCCTATTTAATAAATATTAAAATATTTTTTTGTTATTGTTTTTCATATATAAACTAAATAAATTGTTGTTTGGTTACATGATATGAACGAAGAAAAGAAAGTTTTTTCCTAATTTGCCCACCGTCTCCATTATTTTCTTCTCGTAACATTCAAAGAAAACACAACACCTTGTCCATCTCTTCTCTCCATCATCGACCCCTTAATCATTTAACATACCAACTAATCACATCAACAAATCACAAATATTAATAGAAAATGACATCATATGTCAACAACAATTCAAGGAACACAACAATAGCAACCAAAACAATTGTAGCAAAAGTTTATAGCAAATGGAAATCACAACAACAATTCAAAGCTAATCGATAATTTCCAACTATTGGGAACATAAAAGTCAGAAACACACCTGGTCGAAAGAAAGTGGTCTCTGGTTGTGAGGTCGGAGGAAGACGACGAATTCCGAGCACTGGGTGGTCGCTGGTAGCAGGGGAGCAGGGGATAGGGGATCACTTTTCTTCTTTTTGTGGAGGCATGTTTATGATAACAAGGCAAAACAAGAATTAAAGGCATTTGTCTTGATCCTTCTCATTTGAAGCTATTGAATCAATCTATTTTGATGGGCCGAGTCCATATCTTTGATCGAGTCTATGACTCTAAAATTCAAATCAAACATGCTAAATTGGTTTTTTTTATCCGGTCCCTCTTTGGACCCAATTAGAAGCTAAATGAAACGGCCCCTTATTCTTTCTTCACTCATACTTCTTCCATCATGTCAGTGAAGTGAAGGTATCATGGATTGCACTGGGGAAGCATCACTATCTTAATATACACATAAGCTTACTATAATAGGGTGCATCAATCTCCGATTAAATCAATCTCATTCTTGACCTTGGTTGATTCCCTTCTTGAAATTATTGTTATGGTTAGATATTTCACTTATAATATACTACCTTCGTCCCAAATTGATAGTCCATTTTTGACTTCCGGAGTCTTTTTTCTTCAACTTTGACCTTAAATATTTTTATTTTTGATAGATAATACTTGATGCAAAATATATGAGTGGATTGTATTTTTAATGTTTTTTCATTGTTATAAGTTTTATCAAGTAATATATAACACAAATGAAAATATTTAAGGTCATAATTGAAGAAAAAAAGACTTCAAAAGTCAAAAGTGGAATATCATTTTGGGACGGAGGGAGTATATCACATATATAAAATAATAACAATTTTGACAAAATATGCCATCGTCACATTGAGTACTCTATGTACGCTCCTAATCCACCTGTTTAAACGACTGCTAACCTCACATATGAGTATCAATCTCAGGGCTGGTCTTGAGGATTTAAATATCCTTAAATGTTCTGAACGAGCAATAAAAAAAGACCTTTGTCGCTATTATAAGTTTTTTATTTTAAATAAAAATATATACATATATAATATAATAAAAAAATTGGGCCCCAAAAAAATTTAGGCCCGTTGCCTACTTTGTCTTCCATCAAAAAAAATTATGTACAAATCCTTGTCATTTGTCAACAAGGAGGGAACTTCTGCCATTTTCCTATCTAAAAGTTTTATTTTTATTTTTAAAAAATATTTTTTATATTTATAAATATAGAAAACTAACAAATTACTAAAATTTTATAAATTAGTTTTTATTTTAACAAAAAGGTTAAATATACATTGAATAAAAAGGTTAAATATGTCGTATATAGAGTTAAATTAATATTTATAAATAACAACTTTAATAAATAAATGTACCTGTAAATGGTACCGATTCCAACTACCAAGTCCTCGTCAAGCCAAAGAAAGTGAAATGTAACTTTGTTATTCATCTTTTTGTATAGAAACTCACAGGGCCAGTCCTAAAGAATTAAATATCTTTGAAAACACAGGACGATACGGAAAAAAAAGAGTCATTATCGTTATTATAAATTTTTATTTTTAGATAAAAATATATAATCAACGAGCTATCGGTTTCATACGAGGCCACACGTTTCGAAAACTTTGATGGAATATTCTTTATTTCCTTTTTTATAGGTCTGACAATCGTGTCGTGTTCGGGTTGGCGTGTAGTGGGTTGGCGGGTTGGCGGGTCAAAATATGCCAACCCAAACACAACCCATTTAAATATACAGGTCACGGGTTGACGGGTCACGAGTTGGCGGGTTTGTAACATAAACCCATATATGACCCACCAACCCATTTATTTATACGGGTTCACATGTTGGCGGGTTCGTGGGTCAGATTCCATAAATAAAATTGACAGTTAAACATGAATAAATTCTTGATGGTTGATGCAAACATATCCGAATTTTAGACACTTAAGTCTAAAACATTCAAAAAACAAAGTCAATTCTCCAACACCATTTCGATACCTGATTTCGATCACAGAGTAACAGATGGGAGAGTGGGACTATGGGAGACTGGGAGACTGGACGTCTGGAAGAGGGAGATACGCTCATATGCGATTTGATTTTGAGATTATTATTTAGGAAAAATGGGCAAAATGGTTACAGACTTAGCCTTACAGGTTACGACTTACGACCTTAGACCATCCACCATGAGTCAAAATGTCAAAATAGTCAAATGGTCTATGAATCAATGATATATATTATATAATACTTATTAAATATTAATACTTGATACATAAATACATTTAAAAATAAAATATTTTTTTATTAAAAATATAAACGGGTTGGCGGGTCAACCCGTTAATTTTTTGAGAAACTCATATATGACCTGTTTAATAAATGGGTTGGCGGGTTGAAAAAACTCAACCCAAGCCCATTTATTTTGTGTCGTGTCGGGGGTCATGTCGAGAATTGTCAGCCCTATTTTTTTACATCTGAAAACCTTTTCAATTGAATTTCAATCTAGTTTTAAACAAGACTCCATCCGCCTGAACGATAGCTCTAACCCATCAAATGAAAACCGCAAGCGTTTGTTGTACGATTAAATTAGCATCTGGTCAAACTTCATGCAACATAACCCATGAATAAGCATTAGGTCACCTGAGACCAGATGTACGCTTATCCAATATCTAAAGGTCATAGATTGAAATAAGACTAGTCTATTACGTTTCCAACTTTACTACCGGTTGCTTTGACATTCATCTGTCCACTAAATGTTTTGTTCTTGTGCCATACTAACAAATAAATTGTCAAATTACTCACTAATACCACCAAAAACCTTAAAAGACTCATTCAAATACATAAAAAAAAAACCAATATTTTCGCAGGTATAATATAGTATTAATCAACTACAAATATATAAAAAGAAAAAGCTAAATAAAACATATGAAAACATATATGGTAGATCGGCGTCTTGATTCATTTTTCAGAAAGAATTTCAAATTTCATAGTAGGCATAGGTAGGCTTGCACAAAAAAACCAGTTCGGGATCCGAACCGGTCACTGAACCGGTAAACCGGTCCACTATGAACCGAACCGATTCAAGAACCGAACCGCCGGTTCGCACCCGTTCGAGATTTTAGATATTGAAACCGGTTTAATAACCATGAACCGGTAGTCAAACCGATCGAACCGGTTTAGAACCGATTGAACCGGTGTAACCGGTTTAGATAGGTTCGAGATTTTCGATGACGGAACCGGTTTGAACCAAACCGGTTTATGGCTGAACCGGTTTTACTATTCACGAATCTGAACCGAACCGGTTCAGTTTGAAAAAAAAAAACGGTTTATTCACCCTAGGCATAGGCATGAAACATAAGTGTTGGACTGTTGGTGATTCCTCGGCCCATTTATGTTTTCGCAGCCCAAGTGAAGATTTTACAATATCCCGCGAAATCTATGGTTATTTGTGGCAAATATTTTATTTTATTTTATTTTTTTTCTCATGAAAAGACCTTATTTAAAAATTTAAAATTAGTCTCATTTATTTCAATATCAATATAAAAAATAATTGAAGGTATAGAAACCAAATCTTTCCAAATAAAATTAGCCACTAAATACGTACTTATGTTGTAGCATTTTATGCGATTCGCCCGAATATTACAAAGGCTCGCGGAATTTGTGGCGGACATCAGCGGATAAGAGGCGGAGGCGGCGGGGAGGAGGAGTGGCCTGGATAATACCCAGAAGAAATGGTAGGCGCCGCCGCGGCGACACTTCGACCACGTCTCCTCTCACCGTTTGTCGGACACTGTTCCTATCACCAATCAACGCAACCCCTACATCACCTCTTTCGCCACAACCCAGGTTTTTTCACCCTATCTATATCCAGTTTCTGTGTATCACCATAGACCCAAATCCATCGAATGAATAACCCTTATAACCTTATTTCTTGTGCAAATTCAGTTTGTAGCTTATGTGATCTTACTGTATTTTAAGTCTCTGTTCAATTGAGATTCATATGTACTGTAGCTCCCTTTAACGCTTAAGCTTTTGCGACATTGTTTGGCCACAATGCTAATATCTTCTTAATTTTATCATTTGGCTATAGACTCGAATACATAATCTTGAAATACATGTTGCTATGCTCTCCAACTGCTCGATGAAAATACCACATTTTGATTATTTACAATCTATCCTAGAACCATTTCTAACTTTAAAGCTCTTCACTTTATTTGGCGTGTTTGGATCCAATTTCCCTAATCCCCATTTACCAAAAAATTATTCTATTTTGGGAAATCAGTATATCTTTTATATCACAGGTCATAAACATATTTCTATGCGATTATCAAGAACATTCACTGGAATAACAAATCTTTTATTCAACAGAAGGTATCATATATTTTCAATCTAATACACTAATACAATATATATAACATTCAAATTTGACTTGTATTTTCTATCTAATTCTTATTGGAGTAATAGAACTACAGATGAATTCCAAGACATGACACACAAACGTTTAAAACCTGGAAAATTGTCCCCTAAACGCCTTGTTCCTGATCATATACCAAAGCCTCCTTATGTTGATTCCATGAAGCCACCTGGAATTAGTAGTGGACCTCAAATTCATGATGAAAATGGTATAGAATGTATGAGAGCAGCTGGGAATCTTGCTGCACGAGTTCTTCAGTATGCCGGGACATTAGTAAAGGTTATAATTTATACCCATCTGTTAAGTAAGACATGACAAAACAGAACATGTTAAATATTGCAGTTGAGTAGGACTGAAAGTCTGAAATAGATGTCAATAGGACAAAAATTGCAATTTTCTGCCCCACCTGAAAAGGTGAGACAAACTGGGATAAATATTGCAACTTTTTGTCCCACCCAAAAAGGTGAGACAAACAGATGTGGATAGGTTTTGTCACACTAAAAAAGGTCGGACAGAGCCTGATGTGAATAGGACAAAAAAATTGCAACTTTTGTTCCACCTAAAAAGGTGAGACAGTAAGATGTGAATAGGACAAAAATTATAACTTTTTGTCACACTAAAAAAGGTGAGACAGAGTCTGATGTCAATAGGACAAAAAAATTACAACTTTTGTTCCACCTAAAAAGGTGAGACAGACAGATGTGAATAGGACAAAAATTGTAGCTTTTTGTCACACTAAAAAAGGTGGGACAGAGATAGATGTCAGATGTCAATAGGACAAAAAAAATTGCAACTTTTGTTCCACCAAAAAAGGTGAGACAGACACAGACAGATGTGAATAAGACAAAAATTATAACTTTTTGTCACACTAAAAAAGGTGAGACTAAAAAAGGTGAGACGGTCAGACAGAGCCTGATGTCAATAGGACAAAAAATTGCAACTTTTTGTTCCACCCAAAAAGTTGGGATGTGTAAAAGACATAAATATCCTCGTCATCCTTTTAACCCTTTTAACCGATAATAACCCTAGAAACGCAAGCTTAATTATGTTGGGTTTTTTATATCAAAATCTTGATTTGTGAGGAAAATTTTGTTCTTTTTCGATTCAAAATTGTATAATTTCTTTTCTAAGTTAAAAAAAAAATCTTGGCTAGAATAATAAACTTATATGGTTAATATATTACCAGCCAGGTATTACAACAGATGCAATTGATGAAGAAGTTCACAAAATGATTATTGATAATGGAGCATACCCTTCACCTCTTGGTTATGGTGGGTTTCCAAAAAGTGTATGCACTTCAGTAAATGAATGTATTTGCCATGGGATCCCTGATTCACGTGAACTGGAGGTTTGCCTCAACAAACATTATACTCTGTTTGTCATGCATTGGACTCATACTGCAAATGATGTTAACATCTTGTTTTGATGTTTGGTTTTACAGGATGGTGATATTATCAACATAGATGTTACTGTCTATCTCAATGTAGGTTTTTGTTAAGGTATTTATTGACTTTTTTTTTATATGCATTTATAATAATCTTCGCTTTATAGGGTTACCATGGTGACACATCAGCAACATTCTTTTGTGGAGATGATGATAAGGCGAAAAACCTTGTGCAGGTATTGCTTTGAGAAACTCCATCTATGTAGATCTCAAGGCACGTATACACATGTGAGGACTCGGTGAAACAAATTGCACTGCGTGTGAAAAAAACTGATGTCAACGAGACAAAAATTGTAATTTTTTGTCCCACCCAAAAAGGTGGGACAATGACAGCTGTCAATGGGACAAAATCTACAACATTCTGTCCCATAAAAAAAAATGGGACAATGACAACTGTCAGCGGTCTCAGCGGTCTGAACCAAAAAGGTGGGACAGTGACAGTTGTCAATGGGACAAAATCTACGACATTCTGTCCCATCAAAAAAAGTGGGACAGTGACAAACTGTCAATGGGACAAAATTTATAATTTTTTGTCCCACCAACAAGTGGGACCGGGACCGGGACCGGGACTCGGACTCGGACTCGGACTGATGTTAGTTAGTATATGATAAAGGTTTTTCTTGCAATTTAATCATAATTATTATGCTAAATTTATGCTTATAGGTAACTAAAGAAAGCCTATACAAAGCAATATCGGTATGTGCACCAGGAGTTGAGTTCAACAAAATTGGCAAAATCATAAAGTAAGACAATAAAAATAAAAATAAAATACTTTTCTCAAAGCTATAATTTCTTTTATATTAAAGATCAAACCTTTTTTTTTCTAGTGACTATGCAGATGAACATCGTTACGGTGTTGTGGAACAATTTGTTGGTCATGGGGTCGGGCGTGTATTCCACAGTGACCCAGTTATTCTACACTACAGTAATTTTTTTTATAAAACTTTATGTTATCTTGTTTAATTTTATCTCTAAATTATTAACTTGTTCACTTTTATTCTTTTATCATAATGTAATTCATTTTTGTTATTGTACATGATTTTTTTGTCTATTTAGGGAACAATGAACGTGGACGCATGATATTGAATCAAACATTCACCATTGGTAAGCTACCTTGTTTCTTTCTTTTCTTTACGTGTTGTCTCAATAAATAATAATTAACGAATATTATTTAAAATTGATTAGTATTATGAAATTTGTGTTTTGGAATGTAAAGGTAAAATGTTTATTCGGTCTAGAATAAACAATAAACAGACTTTATGTACAACATTTTATCCAGACAAACATTAGTATCTGTATCTGTATTTGGCAGAACCGGATGTTGACAATGGGTAGCATACACCCAATAATGTGGGATGATAATTGGACAGTTGTGACAGAGGATGGAAGTTTATCGGCACAATTTGAGCACACACTTTTGATAACTGAAAATGGTGTTGAGATACTAACACAATGTTAATTGTATTTGTGGGATAATAAATTAATAAGCACAACCATTTCTTCAAACTTTATTCGTTATATATTGTTTGTTTTAATGTTTGTTAGGGAACAATTTGTATATATTATATTATGTAATTTATATAAATATCGTGTTATTTAATTTAGTCTTTGAATTAATATGTATGCGTTTTAGTTTTAAATATGAGGCTAATGAAGTTTGAGAAGTTTCTAATCCCTCTCTAATAGTCCTCCCTAATAAATAAAGAACTTTTTGCCACTTGTCAATTTCTTATGCATTTGGACAAATGTAATTTTGTGGTTAATTCTTAGAAATTAATTTTCACTTGTCATTTTGTGGTAATTTTTGATTTTCTTAATTAACTATCTAATTTTTAAGTTATAGAAAATAATTAATGTGTCATTAATTTGTTTCCCTATATTTTCAAATTTTAATATGTTCTTTCAATATATATAATTCAAAATTGACATGTTTTTTAAGTTCATTAGGCAAAATGGTCTATATAAAAAAAATAATCATACTTTTTTGTTTTTTATTGATATTTAATGTTTTCTTTAAAAAAGATATTTAAAGTTTATATCTTCATATATAATTTTTTTTAAACAACCCATGTAATACACGAGATTCACATTTAGTATTACAATAAAGTTATTAAAATAAAATTAAATAAATAGGTCAAAGCATAAAGAAATCGTACTTTTTAACCTTTTTAACTAAATTGAATGACACGGCTGTCATTTTCTTGCTTTAAGCTGTTTTTAGCCGGACATGATATAAATGACATTGACTTAAAAGCGGAATGACTTTTTTTTATGTGTTTATTAAATTTTGAGTAGATCATATCATTATTTGTTTTTTGCGTATATTTTATTTTTGTAATTTTGGTCATTGCTAAAGACTTTTACGTCGATTATATGTGATGTCTGAGTATGTGTGGATTTTTAATTTTTGTCTAAACATAAAGTTATTTTACTTGAAAAAGAAACAAAAATATAACATGACCAGAATCTCAAATAAAACATAAAAGTTAAAAGTTAAAACTGCAAGAAAAACTTTTTTGGGAAAAATAATCTGCTATAGACTAAAACTGTAATTTAATCTTATTTTAATTGTTTATATAAAAAGTTTATAAGAAAGTAAAAGTTAAACAAACCACATGAATAAAAGAACACATGCCGGATGCACCACGTTCTTTGACAAAACGTGCAGACATTATAAGAAAAAGGGCTATAAATAAATTCCTAATATTAATTTGGCAGGCATGATATATTTAAAAAGATATAAATCAATATTAATTAAGAATCAACTGAAGTCATGTATCAATAGTTTTTAGAGAAAACTATTTTTCTTAATTTTATAAAATAACTAATTGTATTGAAGATAGATATAATATAATAGTTTCATGTTCATAATATAACAATTCGAAAAGTCATAACTATTTTAATATATTATTGGTTTACTTTCGATTAGTTTGATCTATGTTATTTTTAGGAAAATAAGTCAAAATCGTTGTTCTAATCAACATGAACATGTGTGGATGTTTTAAATGTTTAAAGTTAGTATCTTATGGTTATGTATTATTTAAATAAATACGTTAATATATAAACAATGAAAATTTAACTTTTTGGTACCTTATCATGGTTTTCTAACGGATTATTCTCAAATTAGGAGGGTAATAAAGTCTATGAGCCCATTTTTCAAACTTTTTATGTTAGGCTCCACAATTTATTGTTTTTTATTAGAATCTTTTCAAACTTGATAAGTTCCACAACTATTCAAAAATTTCAAACTTTGTCATGCTCTTTTAAAAGGATTATTCTTATGTAACCCCTATTCATTTGTGTCAATTCATTAAACCGGAGAAAGATGAGAAAAACTGAATCCAACCTTTGCTTTTTCATTTTATTGTTAGTACCATGAAAGTTTTTTTTTATGTATATAAACAATTTATTTATGTCATTTACATCATTATGATCGTTAATTATAGAATTTTTTTTGGAAAGAACAAAAATACGTCAAAATAAAGGGAAATTGACAAAATAAAGGGAAATTGAGTAATCTAACCACTTTTTAAAGTTATTTTAAAAACAATAACCATTTTTTTTGAAAACTAACATCTGGGTCTGAAATGGTTCATTCCGGACTAGTTCAAAACGGGTCAAACTTATTACTGTAGTTCAATGCTATATATGGGCCCCTCACACATAAATCTGGAATAAACATTTCAATTTTTGAAATTCTGAAACTTGTTCTACCCGCATTTCAGACATACTTTTAACCATGGATTAAAAAAATATATGAGTTATACCCATTAAGTTACTTGTATTTGAGTTTTCACACAATTTTATGAGCCAATTTTACTTGTTAAATTACCCATATTAGTTTGAAGACCAATCTGCATGGATACTCTTAGAAAAAGTGGGTTTTACGGACAAATAAATTGTGTTCCATTTATAGGAGCTTTCAGATTTACGACGTATAAAGATAAAATTGAATTAAATTTTTTTTAATAAATATTTTATTTTATTTTTATGGTGATGTGTTAAAATGTTTATGAAATTTTGTTTTGCAGATAAAAAACCAAGATGTTGAGTTAGAAAAAAAATAATAAACCACCAAAGGCACCAAAAATTTAAAAAAGAAATCATAAAGGGTATTAAAGCTTTAATTGAAAGCAGATAGAACTCTGAAAGATGAGATCGGAACAAGTTTAGACAAACTTGTTATTATAGATTAGTTGCAAATTAATAACTTTTGTTTACGTTTTACAACTTGGTTTTAATTTTGGATATATTTATGCAAGTTGATTTTAATGTGTATTTTAATATATTTTAATTTCAGTCTCAAACATAATCGATCGACAAGGATGCGTTGCAAATAGATTATGAAATACTACGTCTTGAAGATGAGCAACAACATCTTGTTGATACGAATGCGTTAGAAATGATTCATGATTATTAAGGTGGGAGACAATGAATGGTAATACGGAAAATCCTATTACCATCTTCTTGCGGCCGATGAGCGGAGAAAACTAGCATTGTATAATATGCAAATGCTCCTCATTACGATGTGTGAAGATATACGACAATTTATGAACACAATGGACATCATCGAAGAAGCACGTACGATAAATGCAACAATAGAAGAACGAACGGAAATTACTGATAATGGGTTCACCCTAATTGAGACCTACATGAAATTGTTTGAAAATCATATAGACACGGTTAGTTTACACTGAATGCAAGTTTCCGGTTATCCTGGAAATGTAATCTAATTTTAAATATATTAATGTCTTTTGAAACTTAATTATGTAAAAGTAATGGTAGAGTTATCTAAATGACAATGGTTTACATTAACATTAGTACAACGATCGTTACAAATCCTAATACATACTTATATTGGTTTCCACAAGTGAGGAAATTATAAATGATACTTATTTTGTTCGTGGTTGATAAAATCTTCTCTAGTTCTAACATCTGTTAGACGGTCTCGTTCTGCACGAAACTTATTAATTTCCACATTTGCATCTTGAATCAACTTCTTAGCTTCTTTGACTTTATTCATAGCTTCAACAACCTATTTTCTTTTTTTATTTACTTATGCCGCTAGATCGTTTGCACAAAAAATGAGTGTCCAACTTATTTCAGAGTCCTTTTCGTTTGCTTCTTCGGTGACCTTCATAGCTTGGAAAATGTCATCAGACATTTTATCCGGGAGTAGGAAATCTGGACCTTCCGGAAACAGGTAATATCAAAAAAAACATATCAATCTTCTTCTTCATAACGCCAAACACCAAACTCATATGAACTCATTCTCAAGTTTTTTCTATATTTACAATGTATGATAGTTGCATATTAATAGGGTGAATTTGTAACAAAATTTACTATCTCCGGAATGGATGTCCAAAACGTTGTGTCTAGAATATAGTCTTCGGAATGTGTATACAGAATATGTGTCTGTGACTCCGTGCATCAGGAATCTATAAAATGCATGATTGATTTGACTTGACATGAATGATTGATATGATGTCTGGAATGACGGTACAAAATGGAATTCTGGAATATCATGTAATCCGGAATGCGACTGTAACGTCCCATTTTCACATCAAAAAATTTCAATTTTAATTTAGATAAAACATTACAATTTATAGAACCCATGTTAAGAAAACCATTTTTTTCCAAAGTACGTTATGTAAAATTAGACTAGTTTAGTAAACGCGAAATCCCTATTGCTGTTGATGAATGTGTACAGTCACGCCTTCACATTTCCATGATCACCGATGGTACTTGAAAACCTAAACAACTGGGTAAGCACGAAGCTTAGTGAGTTTACCCAAAATACCCCACACAACAAACATATACACATGTGCATGCCGGTTTTACAGTCATCAGATTAGATTATCCTCGGCATACAGTCATCGGACTGGATTGCCCTACACACTAGGTCCACAGTCATCAGACTGGATTTCCCTACACAATGGGTCCATAGTCATCGGACTTGATTACCCCTGAGCCCAAAACATAAGTCTAGATTGCCCTCCCGACCCTCAGCTTGTGTCTGAATTGCTCCTGAGCCCAGAACATTAATCTGGATTGCACTCCCAACCCTTAGCTTATGACAGGATTGCTCCCGGATTTGCTAGCTTCTGCATAAAGACATATCACCTCAACCCAACCGCACCATGTCGACATATAAACAAACAAGAAATCAAGTAGGCATATAAGCATAGGCAGCTATGAATCCACCTGTCGAATAGTTCACTACCCCTTGCTAGGCCCTCACAACACACTGCTCCGTTACCGACAAATCTCCAAGGAATGCACATCCATATGTAACCAAATGTGAGATAGACACCAAAACAGATGATCTTACTCTAGAGCCACAACTAAACAAGGAATAAGCAAGAAATCCTAGATCAAGAGATTTCAGTCTATCCTACGTGACTACATACAACCCATAGGACAGACTTCTAAAAGACAACCAGCCAACTGGTATTATAACCAGCATACCACTACTCCTACATCCTAACGCACCAGGATATATATATATATATATAAAACAGATCACTACGTCACAACAACATCCTATACACAAGGATATATAACCAA